TGAAGCATGAAGCTTGCAACCTGAACGAAGCCCTGAACCCGAGACCTCCGATGAGAGTTTGACCAGAGCTTCCCTTGCGAGAGATCAGTTTCAACCCCGGGGTGGGCATGTCTTGGACAATGACAGACTCATAAGGGGCCCTATTGCAGGGCGAAGTGGAGAAGAAAAGCCTTGTCCTTATCAGCTCTAAACGTCCAAGAGATCTCCAACCTGTCAGCCCGCTTTTTCGCTTTTCCGGCAGCATCTGCCGCGCATTTTCCCCTCACCTCGAGTCATGAAGGTCGTGCCGGAGGCGACCAAAGCAGTCAAGGCAGATGTGAGACAGACGGGAGCAGACGAGCAGACATGCGGAAGGAAGTGTCAGTAGAGTGGCAGTACTTTCATCATCCACTGACAGCCAGTACGCCGCCACCACCGCCACAAGCGCAAACAGAGCTATCACCAGATTCGACCACTGTCGACGCCAGCACCACGGCCATTGCTACTGGCACCGCCCCAACCACAGCTGCCACCACCAGCATCTCTTCCGCCATCGGCAATGCAACTTGTGCAGTCGTAACGGCGTTCGAATCGGGACTGTTGATTAAACGTTCCTGCAGGACGCATGTCTGTACCTTCAGTATATTTAGGCAACCTGCCAATTGTAACATCGTCTGTAAAATCCGGAGTAGTGTCGTTCAAGCCCGCACGAATCCGCACGAGCAACATACCACTTCCTCTTCCGCCGCCCAACTGAAGTATCACATATACGACATGTCAATCGTCGTGCATGTTCAATGCTCAGCTAGGGTTTACATGAACGAAAGAAAGAAAAAGGTTGTACATGTTTGTTCGTATGTGTGTCTACCCGTAGATAGATTCGATCATATGGATAGATTATATACATAAATATGTATACTGACAACCATGACACATGTACACATTGGCGCGTAGTGCCTTTTGCATGCTGTACTTGTATGTATCTGACAAGGAAGGTCTCTTTTGATGACGGTGCTTGCGGGACAATTGGTCTGCCCCTCACGCTGAGCCTTCCCGACTCGACCCCTACCGCTCATGGCTTCTTGCACAGATTCTACCCAAGGAAGTCGCGCAAGATAGACTGCAAGGTCCATGTGTGCAAGCCAGGACACATTTCAGCAGGTGGCATCATCAGATGTCCAAGAAGCGCAGAGCAAAGACAAAAAGTTTCACTCTAGCACAAGCCTTGGGCAGCTTCCGACGACAAGGATTTAAGCACATGACGGTTCAGGAAATTATTGGCAGCAGATCTAAAGGCAGCTACAAGTAGTACACGGACGACTGTGTGGGGCTTGGCCAAGATTTGCTGCTGAAGCCAGCAACCTGCCGGTTTCGCAAACTTCCAAAAGAAAGCCGCAACAAAGAAAGTTCGGACAGCGTTCATGTCATGACTGTGTGGCAGTGTGTGTGTGTGTGTGTGTCGTTTGACGGTTTGCGCCATCGTTTTCACAGACTCAGACTTGTTGCCATAGTTCGTGTATCGCGTTGACTGACTTAAGATGGAAATCATCGCGCAAGGTTGCAGAGGCGACAGTATCACGAAACCCTCCATCATCGCTGCCTGCACGAGGTAGATCTCAAAGCTTGACTCTGTGAACCACATGCCGGCTGCCTGCCTGTGGACAGAAGGTCTTTTCTGTTGTTGTTGTTGTCTGCCTTGGGCCCTAAGTGGCAGACAGACGACCATGCGGGTCTTTCCGCCCAGTCCAGCTGTGTCGCACGACGGCTTCAAGCAGAACTCCTTCCACTCCTTAAGCTTCCAATATGATCTCTTTACATAAGTCCCTAAAAAGGCCTCTTCGACTTTCAGGGGCAAGGCACCAGGACGAAGGTGCCAATCCTACATCCTTTTGTGCTACCATGGTGACCATGGGAGCAGAAACCAGGCCGGGCCCCAGAAACATCTGATGCATGGAGTGCGAAATTGGAAGGCCTCTATGAGGGCCGCGCCTGTGCTTCCGCATGAACGTGGTGAGATGACGGCAGTGATGATCAACGCAAAACTCTAGAACTGCAATGACTGGTAATTACGAGTCCCATGCTTGCTGTTGTTACACGTCAATCTGTTTGTCTGTAGCGCGACACTTCAACTTCAGAGTCGAGCGGGGAGTCGGTACAGGGCCATGCAGTCCAACGCATCACCAGATGGTCTCGGTCTTGGGGGTAATACAGTGCTCGGTCGAACCCTGTCTCGTTGAGACCCCTCCAAATTTCTGTCCTGTTTGTGCTTGGGCTCGCAGGCGCCTGCAAACCCTGATGCGCAACGTAAATTGTCCAGCAGCTAACAGTCACTAACAAGTTCAAGGGTGAACCGTAGGCCTAAGAAAGCACCTAAGAAACTGCCCCAGAACCAAACCCTAAGCTCGTCTCTGCGTTTGCCAGGGGAGAGGACCCGAAGGGGTCCGAGCCGCTGAAGGCATCTCCTCGGCCTTGGCTGACAGTTTTGCTGTGTGTGTGTGTGTGCGCGCAGGTGCGTCTCTCCGTCGGTCTGTCTGCCTGCCTGCCTGCCTATGCATGTGGCCAGTGAAGGCTTCGGGGCCCAAAACTCCCGAACCAGGCAACCCCAGACTTCCAAAAACTTAAGCCCGGAAAACCCTAAACCCCACAACCCCTAAACCCAAATCGCAAAGCCAAAAGGCTTGCGCAGTCTGATGTTTCGCCAGGCTCCGGAGCCCGGTCCTTCGCCGTTGTCCAGACTGGGTCCGCCATGCATTGGTAGAGGATCTTGGGATGTTTTGGGACCCAAGTGGGGCTCGAGAGGGATTAGAAGCCATCTTCGATGCTTGAAGGGTCTTCGTTTTTAGATGTCGGGGTTCAGGGTACTCGCATGAACTCTGGGGCAACTGACCCTGTGAACCCTAAGGCCCTAAAGCCCTAAATCCTAACACGTAAACCCTACAACCACAACCCCCTAGAACCTAAAAGCCCAATCTCCAAGTGTTTCTTTGCGAGGCGGCCTAGCTCGTCTCTGCGCATGCAGGCGCAGGAAGAGCAAAGAGGACGCAAGGGTCAAAGGGTTCCCAATCTATAGGAGCCTTCATGACGAGAATAGGGCTCCTAAGTTGCACCGTTGCACGACTCTTTTGCCTCGCAGCTGTTCGCACGTGGGTACGATTCTGCCAGATTCATTCCGGCATGTCCACTCCAGAAGCCGCTCAGCAGGTCCTGGTGAGTGCAGCAGCCCGTTGAGGTTGACTCGCCAGGCAGTCATGAAGCACAGCTCATACAGCCAGCCAGCCTTTTAGCTGAACAGCAAGTGCCACTCGCCGGTCGTCCATGCCCTAGGCCTAGTCTGTAGGTCTACATGATAGGCCAATCTCAGGAAGAGCTTGCAAAAGAATGCCCTCTTCTCTACAAAGTGGCTGATAACAGTCTTTCGCGATTAGCATCCTTCAATGGCCAGGTCCCCTGAAATGTGAAATTATGCAATGTTCTACGTACGGTTTACACCTGGGGGCACTGCCTCGCTGCCACAGTAGTACACAGTCTAGCTATACATATACACATACATACTTACTTACATATACATACAGCTACTTACATACATGTATCACGCATCACGTGCACATCAGAAATTGAAAACCGCCTTAAACCCCCAGCTGCTGTTCTGCGTTCCCGAACCGGCACGACATCTCTGCAACACGGGAATGCGCCTTTGCAATGCCGACGTCGATGAAGCGGAGCGGAACTACCAGGAGGCCGACGATGGACGACAACAGTTCTAAATAGAGTTTGGCATGTTGACTATCACTCTGCTTTTCCAGGTCTGCCGCTCTACCACTCCCACTACGACAGATGCGACAGTGATGGCGATCTGGTGGCGGGTGCTGGTGCTTCTACTACTGCGACGACGGTGACGACGACCACCATCTCACCCTACCAGGACGACGACGATTAGGACGCCGCAGACGACCATGACGACGACGACGACTGATACTGCTGCGACTCTGCCACTCTGCTACTCCGACTACTACTACTACTACTACTACCACCACCACCACCACCACCACCACCACCACCACTACTACTAGTACTACTACTTCCGCTGTTAACGACGGCGCCGACAACTGCTACTACTACTACTACTACTACGACGACTACTACTTCTACTACTACTTCTACTTCTTCCGTTGCTTGCTACTGCTAGTTCTCCGTTGCCTTTCTGTTCAACTTTCTACAGTCCTCTACGTCTGCAAAAACCTGCGACGATGGTTTGTATTAGCATGCTTTTCAACAGTGTTGCTCCAATATTTCTGATTCTGGTGTCGCGGCTTGTAACCAGTCACTACTCGATACAAACCAAGCAGGTGCAGCAATTGTGAGGGAACAACTGCAGTTGCCGGTAGCTACTGCAGGCTGCGGATGAATTAAACCGTCAGTCCGCAGCGCCATAGTCTTATAAACCAACCTGCTTGGCCATGCTGTGATGCCTTCTTCAAGCTGGTTCGTCTTATAGCAGCAAAAGCCGTAGTAATGGGTGAGCATCAAAGCCCGGCCATGGAACCTCAGACTGGGACCCACACCCTATGCCCTATGCCAGGAAGAGGAGGACTTTGAAGAGATGGACAACGAGGCCGGATCCCTCAAAACATCTTCCCCGACCAGAGGTGAGGATGCTTCAGCCGGGGGCTACGCAGCTGATTGTGTGTCGCTCTAAGGATGAATGTCCTTCAGTAATCCGAAACTGCGAGTCCTGCATGCCAAGGCCAGCAAAGCCCCATGACAGCCCTCATTCAGCCTCCCATGTCGCTGTCTGCAGCTGCAATAGCCGGAGGATTCCCGATACCGTTGGCAACAAAGGCTTTTTCGTAGAACAAAAGAGCCTTAACAATTAGAATAGGCGGAGCCCATTATACTATAGTCATAGTAAGGAACCCCCAAAATAGTCTAGAGTAATTCTTAAGGCCCCTATAGTAAACAGCAATCCCCTTTTGCCCCGAGAGCTAGGAAGGCATCTCCGTTGGCAAGGCGCGCTCGGATTTCGGGTTTCGGGAGCACTGGGTGGCTTTGGGGTTTAGGGTTTAGGGGTTTAGGGGTTAGGGGTTTAGGGGTTTGGGGGTTTAGGGCTTTAGGGCTTTAGGGCTTTAGGGCTTTAGGGCTTTAGGGTTTAGGGGTTTAGGGCTTTAGGGCTTTAGGGCTTTAGGGCTTTAGGGCTTTAGGGCTTTAGGGCTTTAGGGCTTTAGGGGTTTAGGGGTTTAGGGGTTTAGGGGTTTAGGTTAGGGTTTAGGGGTTTAGGTTAGGGTTTAGGGGTTTAGGGTTTTTGTCTAGGGTGTTGGGTTCTGTGGTTTGGGCACTCTTAGCTTATTGTCAAGCCCCAAGCGATCCTATCATGGCAGGCTTCGTTCCCATTGGAAAGGAGGGGCACGGATGCCGTTTGCCACCCCGCCCTGCTCACGGCAAACGAATCACCGAGGAATGTTCAGAAAGCTTTCAGAATTCGAAGCTCCGCACTAAAACGCCCCACATCGGAAGAAACGATGTCAAAGTTTCTGTTTCGATCGTCGTAAGGGCAACAACAAGAGCAACAGGACTACTTTAGACCCTGCTTGAAAATCAAACTCTATCACGACTTGGCGCGCGAAAAAGCATGGACAACCTAAACCCGCACACCGTATTCCCTGATCTCTGCGCCCTCCACAGGTATTCTTCGACCTAAGGCAGCGGACGTTGAGTGGCCGGCGAACCTGGACACCAGGGGTGTTCTAGTGCTAAGTGTTTTGTTGAGGGCTCAAGAGTTCAAGGTTTTGGGCCTGAGGTATTCTTATTGGTTTTGGGATTTACTGGGGTTTGGGTGTATACGAGTATGTCTCGAAATGCAGCAGCAGTTTGCTTGTTGGTGTGCTTCTCCTTGGGAGGGAATTCGTCCGTCGTTCGGTAGTTCATTTACAATCGTCTAGGTGTGGATGAGCCCATGCTCACGTGCGTAATGTGTGTCCGACTGGTCATGTCATCATCTTCCGAAGCAGCAGCGTCATCATCACCACACTGTCCGTCTCAATCATCCTTACAATCACGAAGGTCAGTTAGTATCAGCACCGCCCTACACCGTCGGAAGTCGCCTTTCGTTTTAAAAGAGGCTCGGAGACCTGAAGCCGAAGTCCCACTCCCTTGATTCGGAAGACCCTGAGTACTAGCCCACTAATGCTTGATAGGGTTTTAGGGTTGAGGGTTGAGACTCTTAAGGGTTTATGGGGTTTAGGGTTCAGTCAGCGGGAACAACACGGCATCGTCTTTCAAGGCATGGACCAGATGCCCGCTTTCCGGGTCGTGGTCCTCGGCTCCCCAGCTGCAACTAGCTATGAGCAGAGGGGGTTCCCTCCGAACGGATTTTATAGCCCTAAACCCCAAACCCAAAACCCTAAAGCGAGGCCTTCAGGGAAAGGTTTTCCCACTATGTTCGAGAGACCTTCAGGGGATATGCCGGGCATACTTCCGGAGACTCCGTGAGCTCCTTGTGGTGAAAGTTGGTGCGTTTTGCCGTCCTGTTGGTGGTTTGCTGAATTTCCGCCTGAGCCCACTGAGACTTTTTTGTTGAATCTGAGGCCTGCTCCGGAAACTGCGGAACAATGTGAAGGACTCCATCCTCTACTCGGAGGCACAAGCCTTTTCCATGTGAGGTTGCGGACCTCATTTCGGCTTCTGTTTGGCTTGCGGCTTGCGGAGTATCATGGCGACCTAATGTTCGATCATGATCTCCGAAAGACAGCATGGCCCATGGCCACCTATTCTGAAGGGTCAGATCTCGGACCGAAGCTTCACTCCCGCCGAAACCCGTTGCCCCTATACTGACGGTATCTGCATTGAGCCATCTCACGGCTGCATCGAGGTAGGCTCTGGCATACTTAATGCTTAGGCGGTAATTGCAAAAAGAAAGAGGCAACTGATCGTAATTAATTAACAGTATAGAAAATCCCATTCTCTGAGCAGTAATTGCAGATAGTAAGTGTTGACAAACAAGATCTCCAGAAACGCGATCCTGCCAAAGTCGTCTCCTGCATTTATTCGCCACATGCCATGTTCCGCGCACGCCGGAAATTCCCGTTGTTCCACTTGCTCAACCCGAAGCCATCGATCCCCACACCCCAGTCCCGAAAGCGTACTCTTCTTTTTCAGCCCTTAGCAAAAAGTAGCTTCCAACCCCTATACTTTAGAGCTCTACTCTTCTCGATCAGCCTGCAGCCTTAAACATCTGTCCAAGCCCTGAAACCCCAAGCACCGGTTGCGTTCAAAGCCATCTTCAGTCAAAGTTCTTTGCCGGGCGCGAGGTGGAGGATGCATTGGGCAGATATTTCCGGGTACTGGATGCAGACATGCAGAGGCATGTGGTGGTCTTTTCTGAGGTTTAGAGGGTGTGGGCTCTGGGGCTGAGGTTTATGGTTTGGATGTGAGTGATCAGAGATCAGAGTTCATTGTGCGGTTTTTGTTTTCGGGATCCTGCATGACGGAGCCCGGGTGAGGAGAGGGAGAGAGAGAGAGAGAGACAGAGATATATATATATATAAGCAGAACGAGTTCGTTGTACAGAAGCACGTATCCTACACGTACACAGGCACACTCTCACGTACACTCCGTCCAATGGGAGACGTTTGGGGAGTCAGGTTCGCCAACCTCCACGAGATCTTGCGGGATTCCGCAGACAAGTCCGGAGCCTGTGATTATAGTCATGATAGTCGCCACTGCGATCGCGGACGGTCTCGTGAGCATAGTGTTCTGGATATTTCGCATTTTTGACCGGTACAAATAGTTGTGCAGATTTCAAGATCGATGTTAGGTGTTCATTCTCAGTTTGGCATGTTACTCGGAGCGGTACTCAAACTGGCACTTACACCTCCCAGCTTTCAGCCCTGATACCCCTAAAATAGAGTCCAAGCCAAACCCTTAACTCTTGTGATTCCTAAGAAGATGTCACTAGCCAGCCTTACCCTAAACCGTTTGCAAAACGCAGAAACCTCCGGCATCTCCCTAGGGCTGCCACCCAAGCGCCGAGCCGTGAGGCTGC